TTCTATAATTTATTTTTAAGTAATGATCAGTTCTTTCCCCCATATAGACCCCTCATACACCTTCCCTCTAGTCTTTAAAACAATCATGCCAATATTATTTTGCCATTTTTATAGATAATATTTAGAGAGATTAATTACCTTGTTCATGTTCACGTAGCTGTCAAATATCCAGAGCCAATGTCTTATTGATTCAGTATTTCTTGCTGCTTGTATGTGAAATGATGTGTTCTTTTTTCTATCTTTCTGTCTTTCTCACTTGATTTTTGGGTAATAGCTATAATTCAAAGTGGTGATTGTATTGATGAATTATATTAGATTATCTTAAAATAACATTCTGTCATTCTACTTTTATTTATTCGATGAACAAAAGTGTACAGATTTATGAGCCAAATATTACTCTTGTTTTGGAGTTATTTTTCTACAAGGAAAGAAGAATTTATACAGTTTATTCTAATAGAGGATAGGAAGAGCTAGTTTCATGGATAGAACCAAATAAGAAAGTAATGTCCTTCCTGATGGAATTACGAAAATATTCACTGAGTGGGTACTACCTAGCATGGAAGACATAGCAATATGCTTTTTCCTATTATAATGTACTTGTTTATTAATACAAGTGAGGAAAATCAATACTAGTTTTTCATTTTATATTTCCCTTCAACAAATCTATTTTTATGTACTTTGTCACTAATTGGATAGTCATGTAATCAGTGATATTTTGTATCACAATACATTATCCACAATGATTAAAAAAAATATTTCCTTTATCCCAGGTTATTTCATTTCTGGCTGCAGTGTTGCATAAAAAGGGAACACGTGAGGATATTGAAAATAACATGCCAGAATTTTTACTAAGAAGTATGAAGAAGGAACCGCTTTCTTCTATAGCAAAAAAGGTAAAGTATATAGAAATATTCAACTCATGAAGCTGGAATTGCAGAGGCACAGAGGAACATTTAAACGTCACACAACATACTATAAATCTAAAACTAAGAATTTAAAAACATTAAAATATTTATTTCATAGACCTAATTTTTGAAGGATTACCAGTTTCATCCTCTAGTTAAATTTGATTGTCTCTCAGAATGGCAGAATATAATTTCAGCTTGAATTTATTTTGAGATTTAAATCTATTACTCGGTTATATTTACATGATTTGCTCAGATTTATTTGTTAAGCTTCCATGAATGCATATATAAAGTTAATTGAAGTCTTCATTATGTTGGTTTTTTTAATGCAAGAATGAAAAGGAGACAGTTATGGATATTGGTAATGAAAGTATGTCATTGATATTTAAAGTTGCTTAGGGGACTGATTAGGTCTCAAAACTATGAAACAAATTCTCCCTATTCAAGGAAGCTGAAACTTGAAAGACTAAATATCTGCTCGTCTCTGTCTGTGTGACTGTGACTGCTATTCATATTCTTACTCCAGCTTTCTACTTCATAAATATATGTTTATAAATATACACAGTTATTACAAAAAATAAGATTTCTAATAAAGCAGTGCAATGCACCAAAAGTATATTATACTTCTGTGTCTTTTATATTATCCTCAGCATCCAGGAAACTGGATGAGAACAAGGATGAAGTGATTTTATGAGATCATTATTTTATTATGATAATGAACTACTTGCCACAAGTTTTAAAATAGCCTGCTTCATACAAATCTTATGTACAAGATTACTGAGAAGTCCAAGTTTACTTTTATCTATTGTAAGGGCTGTTTGTAGGCAGAATTTTGAGAAGTATTGACTTAAGTTATT